TTGCTGCTGCGCATATCCGCCGCGAGGCATGCGCGTGGTGGTGTAGTTGGGTCGGCACTGATGGGGTCAGGCGAAAAAATGTAGATGCGCGGGCCTCTGGCCGTCGGCGTAGGCAGCGATGCCCATCTCATTTTTTGTGCGCGGAGGCAGACACCGTCAGAAGGTGGACGGGAACTATGTACACGGCCCTAGGTTGGCTAGAGGGCGCTGCATTGCCTCAGTAACCTGGCTTCGCCATCAAAGGAGGAGGGAGCAGGTGGCGACGAGCTGAACTAGGCTGGTTGACCATTCGGCGCGAGAATTTTTATTTTTTCAGACCAAGAACCTTGAGTGCAATGAGGGAGAAAGCGAGGAACGGACTGGGAAGGACAGCAACGAGAGCGTGTACGGACGGAGCAGGTCGAGTGACGTTTTGCTCGGGCTGACTACAGCGGCGCCGGATGGAGCAGTGGCACCGGAGCATGCGGGCGACATCGACCCGTGGCGCACGGACAAACATTTCTATCTGTGTTGTCAATTTTTTTCTTTTTTTTCTGACTTTCCGTGTTGGTTTTGTGTGATGACATTATCGGGGGATCGGGGTGCGCTACCCACCGCGTACGTATTTGTGTTGAATGCCGAGGTTCTTGTCCTGGTAATGTTTTAAGTCCAGTAGAGCTGCGATCAAAGTGTCGTGTTATTAGAAGTTCTGACCATATCGGGACAACATGGGAGAAGACTCCGGGCGGGTCAGACTGACCACTTGGGGGTGTCTCTTCGTCCACACACATGTCCACAGTTTTCCAAAATCCTACTCTTAACACAACTCTGCTGACAGTCCATACTTGCATTCCGAGAATCTAAGATTCTATCCAATCCTCCTCTCAAAAGACCTGTCGAATCTCTCAACTTATTTCCCTTATATATACCAATCCGCCTCACAACTTCCCGATAGTTCAGTATCCTTTCAAACATGTCCCGCTCTTTTCCACCTGCTCTCTTTCCAAGTAGTACGCTTGGCTGCACTCAGTTTACACCAGCCCTGTCCCATGCCACACTATTAGCCGTAGCTACCCGGTAATTCCACAGTTCCAAGAAAAGCGGCCCGATTGCACCACAA